GAAATAATTAGGATCTAAATTATTTCAAGAAAAATCAGAAAAGACCTGAATATCAGAGAGAAGACGAGACACTTCTCCACCGTATATGCCAATTCGACCCCCGTTGTAGATGGTAAACGTCTGAATTCATTAATTTTTAATTGTAATTTTGGAAGCAATACATCTTTAAGTTGAATCTTCGAAGATCATTTCTCAACAAGCTTTAATTTAGTGGCACACCTGCATTAGATGCTCATAGATATGAGCTAGGGACAAAAAGCTAAAATAAACATCATTCCTTCCATAAGAAAGATTATTAGGTGGTGAGGTAAATTGTATGTAGATGCCGGCGACAGCAGCCAATAGGGAACGATGCGAAAGCATAACTCCTTTTGGTTGACCTAAGGCAAAGAATTGGTGCATAAGCAAGTGAAACATCAATAAAGCAAAAGGATAACGGATACGCGAGGAGTTTTCGATAAACATTCACCTGTAGTCCCACTGGTAAAGCATATAATATAGGTGGATTCCGGAGACGGCGGAACAACTGACGTAAGGTGCTGCTCACCAAGGGCATAAATGTAGTCATAAGTGTACACCTAAAACAACTAACTACTGCCAAAGGACCTAAGTGGCTAGCTCGAATCACCTCCAAGCCTTGCACAAATCCGTGAGCACCATTCGGTTGTTTGCTAGTTGTATTCAGGAGGATCAGCTTTTTCGGCGACTTGATCATTCCAGCAACCATCTTATTGATAAAGCTTTCCGCACGTGCTTCGTTGTCGCAGAAGATAACTTCCAGATCACATCGATTGATTATATCACTAAAGGTTCTTATGACATCAAAGAAACTGGGAGTAAGAGAGTACTTTGTAGATATGGATGTGTATCATTACTCCTCTTCGTTACATGGTTTCTCCTTGAAGAATAAATAGGAAGGAAAGTGTGCTGAGCTATTGGTGGGAGTGTGAGCTTTCACATCCCATAATGTCAATTCACATAAAATGTGTCATAAAATAGGACTTATTTTCCTATGGTTAGTTCCAATGTTTATGACGTAATGTGATTCTTGAGTCTCAGCAAAAAAAA